ACCAACGAATAGTGGGATTGACCGTCACATTATAACGCCCCCACGGCTGAAAGGGCGAGCATGTTTGGTGTGACAGGGATTCGAACCCGCGACCCTCAGATTGCGAGTCGAGTGCCTTAACCACCTCGGCGTTGTTAACTAGCTGCTTTGTCTATAGTTTATTTATTCAAAATTATGGACGGCTATGCCCAGATGCCCTTGTGTAGCTTTGTGCTAATATTCGAAAACAAACTAACAAACTTATCCTCTTTTTTTTTCTTCTTCTTCTTTTTAGGATGTTTTTCATCTTAGTTAATTTCGAATAACAGTGTGAGAAAAAAATTACCTGTTTTGCATTATTTTGACAGGATGTGTTTCCTAAGTTATTCTGTATAACTTCCTGCTGTGTGCACTTATTGGTTTCAGGATTTTTGGTTTTATATCAGTAAAGCATAATTTGCTGCTTTATGCGTTTTCCACGTATAATTCAAGGCTACATATCAGTTTGAAACTGGTTGTTGTTACGCTAATTCATAACTTCTGTATTGTTATTAAATTACACCTTCACGACTACTGGTTTTTGTATGTTATTGGCCGAAAATTTTTGAATATTATTAGATACAGTTCAGAAAATTTATTTTGAATTTTTTCTTGTAATTGTTAATATGATTAAACTAAAATACGATCTCGTGTTATAGTTTCCTTCGGTACACAATAATGCTATTTTTAAATAATATTTTCTTCTTTTTCCGATTTGTGAATCATAACAGTTGTGTCGCAGAACATTTTAGAGCATATCGTTCTCTCTTCAGACGATTTTACGCTTTTACAGGACATGTAGGGAGTTAATATTATGTTCTTTGAAAAGTAGTAACGGACTTTGTCCATAGAGGGCACGACAATCTAAGTGTGTTCTCAAGACATATAACAAGAACCATTGGTCAATAGTTTATATTTAAATCAACCTGTCGTGGTGTAATAAACATCATTAAGCCGTTTGTAAAATAAACCCACAATTTTTCATACACCGCGTCTTAAAATCAATATAATAAAATTGACTCAAGACAACATATCTGTTAATTATTAGTAATACTCATACAAGTTTTATCTTTTCGACTCTGAACTTTTTAATCTACAAATTAAAATATTTTTAAGAAATGTGGTGGGAACATTATTAATCAAGCTTTCAGCGACCGACAGTAGTTTTTACTAGTGTGTAATTCCAACAAAATAAGGACATTAACATTTCTTTGCGCTCTAC